ACGCTTCCGTGCTTCTCTGCGGCGTGAATTCAATGGGTTAGTTCCCCCTCTCCTTTTCTCTCTCTCTCTCTCTCTCGAAAATCCGACAGTCTGTTTCGTGGGTATCGCGCACGAGTGCCGAAGCAATTTGAATAAACCCTTCCCGTGCTCCCGTCTAATTTTAGACCGTCGAGAGGGTTGCCGCGCGCGTTCGAGGACGTCACGGTCGAGCTCGAGTCTAAACACCGCGCGCTTGCGAGCGCGCTAACCAACCCCTCGTGCGCGTTTACGTAGCCGTGTTGCGCTACACAAGCATTCCGAACACGCGTGGGGTGTCGCAAAAGTCGCGAACCATCCACGAACCACAGCCGAGGGGATTAGAGCCGAGGGTACGGTAACATGTCGGAATAAGAGGCGCCGGCAACGGTGGTTATCAAACGTGATTTATATTTCGGAGGGGAGGGCAAAGCTACGAAATGGGAATCGCGATATCCCGTAGGCGTACTCAATTTCGCTTTTGTCGAAAAATACAGGAACCCGAGCTATACGGCGAATGTAGCTTATACAATTTGACTTCACACAATCGGGATATCCGCGAAAGTTAAAGCACGATACGAACAGGCTCGTAAAAATTTAAAAATGTAATTTTAAATTTGTTTAATTTTATCGTGCGCAAACATACGTACACGAGGTATCTCGTATATTTCAATCTACTTTTACAAAACGGCCGAATAAGAGGAGAATCGTAAGAGTTAATTAAATTTTGTTTTGTAGTTACGAATTAGAATGCAAATGTGACAAGAGAGGCGAAACATCTCTCGGGAAGTTGCGTAAAAAAAACGTTAAAACAGTCAAATAAATTCCCCGGGAAGATCGTAGTTCTCGTCTGTAAATAAAACAGAAAAGGGGAAATGCGAGGTAAAGGTATCCGTGTCTGGACATGTCCTCCCAGCTCGGAATACTTTCGTCGTTTTAGTTTTGAGATAAGAATAATTAAACTTTCACAGTACAAAATAAGAGTTTCTTTCTATATTTTAACGTTTTAATTACAAGATCCGAATATTCATTTGTATGCATTTATATTTTTTCAAAACAAATCGTTATTTTACTCGTCAATGTAACGAATGGAAGAATTTGCTAACTCTATTGATATTCGTGTGGCGTAGAAATAATGTACAATATTCTTAAGGTTAATTAAGCCGTCTAGAATTATAAGAATACGTGGGACAATTTTTTAGTTAAAAGTGAAGTATAAAGGTTACCTTGTTGACTTTATAAAAAACTCATTGTATAAAACCGATGCTTGGACATCGGTACGTGTATTTTATACAACTTTTTGCTTATCAAATACTTTCATTATGGAAATTAATAATCAATTAAGTTATTTTTGCTCTGAAAAACAGTCTGGTTCTTCCATTTGTATGTTAATTGTGCAAAAAGATCCTGTGATCAGGTTTTATAAAATATCCTCCCGTAATGCTCTCTTATCGGTCCGGAAATATGTTTATCTCAGCCGCGGAAAATGTATAATGCATGTGCACAGAATAACATGGACAGAATAACAACGCTTTTTCGATGGTTCTCGCAACTCATCTCGTATCCGGGATAGGAGAATTTGTTTTTTAATATTGTTTTTTTTAATTCTCAGGAGATACATATTCGTATCGGATACAAAATACGTTTCAAAACTCACCGAGAAAGGAAGTGCTGCAATTATTCCGCCCATAAGAAAGAATGTGCAGTCGGTCACACGACGATTGCAACCATTTTTGTCTCGGAACGCACAAAAAGTGCGACAAAAGCGAACCTATGATTTACGAACACGCGCAGCAGATAATCAGACAGCTGTCAAAATTAAACGTGTAATATTTTCACCTGTACATATCCAACTTTGACAGTCTTGCCTGACCACCTATTGCTATCATATTCGTAACTCATAGGTTCGCTTCATTGTATTTTCTGCGTGTTCCGAAGTATGTAAGAAAAAAACTATTGCAATCGTGACTGTATATACGACTATATACCGACTGTATGTGCAACTTGTATGTATGACTTGCCGATGCGCGCTTATTATGTGCGCGCGTGTTACGTGCGGCAGTAGGCGGGTAACGTACGCGTACGTGCAACAAGCTCACACGGTTAACCCAATCGCGACACGCGCGACCTGCTCACGTGGAGAAGATTATAAGTACACGTAGCAGTTCATACGACGGCGCGATAGCGGCGGTTTGGTTGTGTAATCCGCGCGGAAGGCAGAAATTAGTTTATTACGGCAGAAGGCCGGGGAGGGCTCGAGTGTGACGCGCAGGATGTACGCCGGGTGATACGGGTCACTACATATTGAAGCCGATGTACAGAACGGTAACATCGCAGTCGATATACGCCCCGTGATATTTTAGGACGAGGAAGCTTAGATTGATAACGCTTTTATATAACGCTCGGGGGGAGATCTCGGGAGAAATCCGATTAATCCCCGCTCTCGGCAAGCTCGGCGGCTTCGTTTCGAATTCGTTTTCGCGGAATTCTCAATGGTGAGACTGTCGTTTCCGCGATTCATTACGGGAAGAGAAAGAGAGGGGAAGCTGACTCGTCGATTCAGACATTGATGGAATATAAACGCGGCGTATAAGTTACAAATGTCGAATTACGAAGAAAGTTCTGCGAAATGATATAAATCTAGGAAAAAGCCTCGTGCTCTCTCTTTCTCTCTCTCTCTCTGCCTGTTTCTTCCTCTTGTTTCCGTTTCAATCTCGACTCGTTGTATTATTCATATGCAATTCTCTAACGGACCGCATTTGATACTTCCCCGAGGGCGACTGTAAACTTTTTAGCTATTCACATGCGCGCCGGTTCCCCATGTGGAAAAAAAAGGGAAGTGCGAATATCTCATCCGATCCAATCTTAATCTTAGCTCTCGCGCTCCGCAGCCGATCTCGTCGTGGCGGATAACTGACGTTTCCGATTCCGGGATGACGGCGATGGACGCTTCCCGTGTCACAGACGACGGCGCGTCACGCTGCTCCACGAGGTCTCCTTTCCGATCGATTCGTTGCCCACATCATGCACGGAGCTGGCGAATCTTTGATCCGGGCCGCCCCGGTGTCCCGCGCAAATCGCGCGGAATCCCTCCCGAGGGTGCAACGTACGTACGAGAACGTTCGGGAACGTTTTCCCGAGGAAAAACAAAACGAACGTGTTCCTCCCCGCTGGCCAAAGAATGACGCGGACCGAACGAGTTTCTACTGACTGGGCGCGACGAGAGCCTCGGGATGCCTGATTTCACCCGTACATCTGTACGTTTAATAAGCCGAACGCGCGAGGGATGACAGGTCGAGCGTGCACCTTCACCCCACATTCTGTCAACGCTTGAATATCCGACATATCGAAATGCGTGCCGACAGCGAGCCAAGCGCTTTATTTAACACACGGGGGTTCCCGAGTCGAAATTTTAAATTCTACATTAAGTCTTCAAGTGGAGAAAACAGAAATAAGTTCCCACTTGTAGCATCGAAAACCATGTTTGGTTCGTTCTTTGTCATATTAATTCAACCAATCTTTTTTTCTCCGTGCAATTTAGTGCAAAATCGACATACCTCTTCCTATTGCTATTAAAGATAATATATTTCTTTCTTGACAGGATTATTCTTGTAAAAATATAAAGCACGACAACGTCGAAGACGCCATGTCGATGATGTCAATACCGAAATGTTTCGTTATTGAAACTTTGCGATGAATGGGTTTAAATAGAGGCTTAACTCGAAGTTGTTTTATATTGAACCTTCGCAACTCCGGAATGAATGTGAAGGGATAACAAATTACTATTTTCTGATTAATTTAAAGAGACCTTTACAGCACTGAGAATAGACAGATATTTGAAGTTCTGCACAATTTTATTGATTTTTGCACCTCTTTGTTTTTTTATTGAAGTTGAACTTGAAACAAATTTTTTTTTATTTTC